TTATTTATCAAGGAATAATTAATTTGATCGAAAGTGACAGTAAAGACATTTATAATGTTACAAAAGATTCTAACCCTAACCCTATTCATCAAAGAATCCTAAAAAAAAAAAAAAAAAAACTGTACAACTGACAGACCAACAACTGTTTCAACATTGATAATAATAATAAATGTTTCTTGAGCATCAAATCCTCATATTATACTGATTTGTGAAGGATCATTTGACACTGAAGACACTGACACTGGTGATGCTGAAAATTCAGCTTTGATCACAGGAATAAATTACACTTTACTGTATATTCACACAGAAAACAGCTGATTTACACTGGAATAATATTTAATACTATAACTGATTTTTGTTGTATTTTTAATCAAATAAGCGCAGCCATGGTTAGCAGAAGAGAATTCTTTTTAAAGTATTTAAAATCGTACCGACCCCAAACTTTTGAACGGTAGTGTGTATATATATACAAAAAATCAAAATATAAATGAAAGCCAAAAGCACATTTTTAGTCACACCTTTTAGCCATCCACATATCATTTTTAGCCATCCACCGCGGTCAAAATAAACCAGTCGCATTTCAAAGTCGTTCGCGAAACGACCGCCAGGTGGCGCAAAGGGACATTTAGCAAAACTTAAGTGGGGCTAATGTCTGTAGCCTAAGGATGAAATACTACAAGTTATGGTAATTTCCAAATAAGCCTACAACAAACATTTATAGCCTACTCCGTAATTGTTGGTCATACAGATAAGATATAATCTTTTAAAACTGTAAAAGGCTAAAGTATAGGCCTACACTCACAGGCTAAATGAAAAAATCGCTCATGTGAGAAACAAACGTTTGGGTATTTCTCAGTGAGTAAATTCATAGCCGAGCGGTAGAACTTAGGGTTCATCATCAAGATGACACGGGTTCAAATCCCGCACAAACAAGGTCTGCTGTATATTTTATATTTATTTAGATTTGTCTAGCTCTAAAACTCTGTTACACCATACAGTTTTTTTTGCTTATATTTATAAAATACAATTATCATGCATTTCCATTTTACACTAAGGAAAAAAAATAGTATCCAACAGAACGACTTTGCATCTGTATAATAATAGGCTACCAATCGTAATTTCAAAAGCAGTTATGTAAAAAAATTAATTATATATAGCCTATATATATATATATATATATATATATATATACTATATATATACTATATATATACTATATATATATATATATATTTTTTTTTTTCAGGGCTGCCAACTCTCACGCAATTGACCCAAATGTCAGGCTCTCACGCCACACCCCCGATTTCTCACGCTGAAGTGTCAACCCGGTCGGTCAAATTCCTAAAAGATATAGTTTATCTATAGATCTACCTGTTGAGCCACTCGTGATCGACTAGTTATACCGCAAATTAGTTAAAATATCCCGTAATCTATCTAGAGCGAGCGTGCATGCGAGACAGATATTGTGCTCCAAACCATGCGCGCGCATGGCAGAGAGGTCTGTTCCCTACAACCTAGAGTTTTTAAAAACATGGTTTTAAGTAAAGTGTGATTTGCCAGGGGGGACTAGGATTTCCTTCTGGTCTAAACATCCCTGCTTCTGCTGAATTATTTTAATCCCCCCCGTAATTTTTTGGTCATACAGATAAGAGTAGGCTTACATCGTTCAAAACTGTAAACTTGTATTCATATAGGCTAACGACAAAAACAGTATAGGCCTACAGAGGATCTACTCAAACATGCAATGTAAGCGCTTCCCAATGAGAAAATGACAAGACAAGGGTGAAAATCTCGCTCTATGTAGGCTAAATCGCCCTGAATTAAAATGTAAAAACAAATCAAATAATGTATTTGTCGAAATGTTGCGATATTGTTTCATTTAAGTTCATAATTATTCTATAAATGTTATTTAATTTAGCAGCATTACCACGAATCAGATTATATTTAGTTTTGCTTGGAAAAAGCTGGCCCAAACCAGTTTTATTTCATCAATTATTGAAATAATGAAATATTTAGTAATAAACTTTTGTGACAGAAATATCACTAGGCTACATGTAACTTAAATCATTTAATTCCTTCATTATCAACACTGTCTAGAATAGTGATTTAAGTGTGAATTGCGACTTCTCTTTGTGTTAAGTCAGCCTCAGACTCCGATAGCCTGTGGGGGGTTGGAGGGACAGTTGCTGGACAAAGGTGTTAATGTTCCTCTTTCATATGGAGAGTGTCGGATAGCCAGCCTGATGAGCAGGCAAAATTATTGTAAGGATAAATCTGTGTCCAAATGTAGACCCCATATCTTATTAAATTATAAATATTGTAGTTTATTTATTGTAGCCTATTTAAAGTCTTTTTTCAATTGAAGTTATTGTAAGGTGAATTCAACAAGGCATGCTGTGTCTTTGAAGCAACAATTAAAGGTTAAATAATTTTTTCGTGATTTGTATGGCTGACACGCAGCGACATATACAGTATTATCAGCTGTATGATGTGTTTTTACCCTGAAATGTTTAATTTCGAGAGAGACCCGCGCACGCAGCGAGGGAGACTAAATAAACTTGTTAAAAAGAGATCCAGCGCGAGAGAGGCAAAGAGAAACGCATGTTTTTAATTTAATTATGTTTCTTTGGACAATTTTCGTTTTGTAGGCCTACTGTTTTAATTGTTTAATTTAGCTGTAATTTCTTTGGCAATACAAATTTAAAATGTCGCAAGAATAAGATTAGCCTAGTGTTTCTTATTTTGCATCGCAAAAGAAATAAACTCTAAACAAGATGCAACCCTGTTTTACATTAAACAATTTAAACCTTGAAATGTTCGAACTTGGTTTCAAACTTAAGTAATTTTAGTGTTCTTTTACATTACACAATAATTTAGCAGACTAAAGACGAGCTTCTTCATTTTCATTTTCTGATCGGCTGACAATCTTCCTTCATCAGTTTTTGTCGTTTGTGCAGCGGCTGCGGTTCTACAGGAATGTAGCAAATTTATGTTGTAATGATAATCAAACAAAACTCTTGACTTTAAATAAGTAAACAGATATAAACAGTTACCTATTTAAGCATCAAGGTGGGAAAATATAAACGTAGGACAACATCGGTTAACAACATGTATGCTACATTGAGATTCGATCTCGGGTCGAATGAAGCTCCTCGAAGCTCGTGTCGTTGCGTTGATCACTGAGCTGTCTTCTGTATGCTGTTAAAGTTGTAAAGCCTCATTCATGTAGCCTAAATGTTTTTATTGCAATGTTTTATGTTGAAATGTTTTCATTATTTATTCAATTACATTTCAGTAGCCTAATTTCAGTATTGTGATTATGAATTATTTTAACTACGTTTCACTTGTTGAATTCTTCTGCTACCAGCTTTCAATCGCTCTGAATCAGCGCGGTGCGGCGGCAGATTACGCATTAGAGAGAATAAACCGGAATAAACGAACACTTTTCAGAGTCTATGATTGTAGCGCCTCTTAGCGGTAAAAGGCAGCAAATACACCACACATTTTACCGCCGCGGTGGAACGGCTGATGTGGGCATTGTCATGGCTTGCCTCAACATTTGCGTTTGAATAGCGCGCGTCCTCCGTGGGCGTGTCAGATTAACGCGTAATGAAGTGTAATGAGCTGGGGAAAAAAATACTGACAGCACTCTCTTTTCATACAGATTGCATAAACTGAGAATATTTGTTTTTTATATAAATTACTTCATTTAAAAGAAGAGAATTTAAGCTTCATAAAGAAAAAACTCTCGTGCCTGTGTGACAAGTATTCGCGGAGTTACAGTTAATCTTAGGACGCGTTTCAGAATGGACTTCACTGACAGAGAGAACGCAGAACTCGCATCATGTTTGTTTTTCTTTATTTGGTGAAAAGCACAACACTTTGTTTTTATTGTGAGTATCCACAAAAAAAATAGAAACTTAACAGGATCTAATGATGTACAACACTTATATGTAAGATCAAAATTAACCGAGTATTTTGAGTCTCTTTTACACTGATAAGAAAAAAAGCGAGACAATCGCGCCGGCGTGATAGCTGACCCCAGGGGGTTAAAGCAGAACGCAAAGGGAAAAAAGAAAATAATCGTGAGGAAAAGGAGTAGATATTCTTGTCGCGTTAAAATACCAAGTGTTACGTCTGAAAATAAAACATGAAGGGAAACTGACAGCTCATTCAGTCAAACTGACGGATCAGAGTTATTTGTAGGGCAACCTTATGATTTGAAACAAGCGTGCCGCACAAGCCCTGAAAAGTGAAGCCAAAGCGTCTCGATCGCCCCCTGGTGGCCGGTCCTAGTATAGCTCATAAACCCCGCCTCCCCGTGTTATTCAACGGCACGTGAGACCAACAAAACAATTAAATTACATTTCAAATATCGTTTTTCCAAAGATGGTTTCTGTCATTTTCTGTAGTTTTTATCACGCTGATGTAAGTTCAAGTGTTTGCTTTTAAAATAAGTTTGTTTTTAGTTAGTTATTTGATACGGTGGTGTGACGTCATGATTGACAGCTGTGATTGACAGGTTCTCTGAGCGAAGTAGTCACTGAAGCACCAACAGACTTTTTTTCGGGATCTTCGCAGGACTGAGGAGATTGGAGCTTTAAATTTAATATCTAAATTTCTATAATTAATTTTAAAAAGTGCCGGAGCGTGTTGCGATTGATTCTGCGAGAGTGGGGGCGGGGCCTTGATTTCGCGGCTTTACTTCCGGCTCACGACTGCGCTGGTCTGGTCCCGAGATCGCTTCTGCGCAGACTCAAGTTCAAGATGTCAGCGCCATATCGGGACACTCGCGGCTTCCTCTGACCAATGGAAGAGGGCGAAGGGGCGTCGTCCATCTTTTTTTACAGTCTATGATTTGAAATGATTGTCGTTTCAGGCTTTTTGAGCGAAAGTTCCCCCGACCCATGACTGAAAGCACAGCAAGCTCGTCAGGAATAAGGTGGATCGTATGTTTCCATGTCCAGAAAGCTAAACACAGACTGTAATGTCACACTAACCGCAAGTAAATGACTCCCCACATGTACGTGCGAAACCACATGGCGGTTCCCGCATTGGCCTGGTATTTCCGGATGAGAATGGGATGGGGAACGGGAAGCAGACCCACCAGAGTGCCATGCTGGAGAAACTTCAGGATCTCCGATTCATCCGTCAGACCCCTGATGAGAGAGAGACACGTCGTCATATTTGCACATCACACCACATGCCACTATCAACGGCTACTCTCCTCTTACTTGTCAATGCAGATTTTCTCCACCTGTGGCACCAGTACTTGCAGCAAGCGCATGATGGTTTGCAGTGGGAGCTTACTCTTCCAGGACAGGACCTGTGATTTGAGTGCAAATTAAATTAAAATGGTTCACTTAGGGTTGATCTTAAAGTCTTGATGAAACTAAAGCATTTTCTTCCATATTGTGATATGTGATATGCAACAGGTTTTCCACAAAGAAAAAAAATCGAAGGCGGTGACTGTTCCCCGGTTTTTGATTGGATGTTGAGGGTTTAGGGGCGGGGACTAAAGCGGACATAAGTTATGATATTTTGATTATAAATGACTAAAAAAATTAAATGTTTATTGTGATGTCTTATTAAAGCATGCATAATATGTTCTGTTATATAATAATGACACAACAACAAAAAAACTAAAACTGACAATAATTCCTGCAGTCAGTTTGTGTTCTGCACATCAACACTGACGTCAAACAAAAATACTAAATACTTTATTTTCCTTTTGATTTTTTTTCTAGGGGAGTGTTATGTACTTTTAGACAAACTGAACAAAACAAGTTTAAGCCAATAGACTCATAATAGACTATATTACTCTAATAGTCTATAATAGACTCATTACATGCAAAGTGAGATATTTCAAGCCTTTATTTGTTATAATTTTGATGATTATGGCTTACAGCTTATGAAAACCTTTTCACAATATTCTAATTTTGAATTTGGGGTTTTTATAAGCTGTAAGCCATAATCATCAACATTATAACAAATAAAGGCTTGAAATATCTCACTTTGCTTGTAATGACTATATAATATATTAGTTTCACCTTTTAAGTTGAGTTACTGAAATAAATGAACTTTTGCACGATATTCAAATTTTTCGAGTTTCACCTGTACTGTAAATATGAGAATATTAGACTGACTCGGAGCCATTGAATTATTAGAAACATAACGCACACCTGAGGTGGTAATGCAGTCACGATGCAAAGCATTATTTTTCTAATAATTGAGCTATTGTCTCTGCGGGACAGTGGCCTGGACTGGACACTCCGGCTCTACGGTCACCAAGACATTGCTCAGATGATTTAGTTCAGGACATTTGTCAGGTTTTTATGCTTACACCGCTCTAGTGTGTAGGACTACTTTATCTGTGCGTTTACTGGAAAATAACTCCACACCGACCTTAGTGTGTTCGTCAACCAATCAGAATCAAGCATTCAAGAGCCCTGTGGTTTAATCAATGTTGTTAACCGGTTATATATGCAAATGAGAAGATTATTCCATGACCATGAAATAAGATGATTATGTTAAAGGACTAAGATCACCCAATATGGAGAACTCTGCTATTATTATTTACTTGCTCTAGTGTTGTTCCAAACCTGTATGATGTTATTTCCCACGGGACACGAAGGGAACAACATTTGAAGAATCTTTATTTAGCCCCATCTTTCAAACTGTTCCTTTTGTGTTCACTGAAATATACAGGTTTGGAACAATGTAAAGGGCACGTACCAAAAATAAAATAATAATAATAATTTCTGGGCGAATGGTTTCTTTAAAAGGGACAGATGCACTTTTATGATGGATAGATGCACGTTTATGATGGATAGATGCACTTTAATGATGGATAGATGCACTTTTATGATGGATAGATGCACGTTTATGATGGATAGATGCACTTTAATGATGGATAGATGCACTTTTATGATGAACAGATGCACTTTTATGATGGATAGATGCACTTTTATGATGAACAGATGCACTTTTATGATGGATAGATGCACTTTTATGATGAACAGATGCAATTTTATGATGATAGATGCACTTTTATGATGGATAGATGCACTTTTATGATGGATAGATGCCCTTTTATGATGGACGGATGCACTTTTATGATGGATAGATGCACTTTTATGATGGATAGATGCCCTTTTATGATGGACGGATGCACTTTTATGACGAACAGATGCACTTTTATGATGGATAGACGCACTTTTATGATGGACGGATGCACTTTTATGATGGACGGATGCACTTTTATGATGAACGGATGCACTTTTATGATGAACAGATGCACTTTTATGATGGATAGACGCACTTTTATGATGGACGGATGCACTTTAATGATGGACGGATGCACTTTTATGATGGACGGATGCACTTTTATGATGAACAGATGCACTTTTATGATCGATAGACGCACTTTTATGATGGACGGATGCACTTTTATGATGGATAGATGCACTTTTATGATGGATAGATGCACTTTTATGATGGACGGATGCACTTTTATGATGGACGGATGCACTTTTATGATGAACGGATGCACTTTTATGATGGATAGATGCACTTTTATGATGGATAGATGCACTTTTATGATGGACGGATGCACTTTTATGATGGACGGATGCACTTTTATGATGAACGGATGCACTTTTATGATGGATAGATGTACTTTTATGATGGATAGATGCACTTTTATGATGGACAGATGCACTTTTATGATGAATAGATGCACTTTTATGATGAATAGATGCACTTTTATGATGGATAGATGCACTTTTATGATGGACGGATGCACTTTTATGGTGGATAGATGCACTTTTATGGACTTCAAAACAAACAGCCATTCACTCCTATCCCATTATAAAGCTTGTAAGAGCCAGGACATTTTTTTTTATATAACTCTGATTGTATTTGTCTGAAAGAAGAATGTCATATACACCTAGGATGGCTTGAGGGTGAGTAAATCATGGGCTAATTTTGATTTTTGGGTGAACTATCCCTTTAACTCAGGGGTTAAAAATGACACTTGCCTAACAATTTCCAGTTTAAAATCATTGGGTAGGACACTTATCCTAAAGGCAGTGATGATGAAGTCATCTTACCCAGTCGGGTTTGGGATTCCAGTGGCTGACGGATGATGAAGAGCTGGACAGACGTCTCCTCGCCATCTCTGCCTCGGTGTAGAAGACATCCTAGCAAGAGAATCACTGTTATCACCTGCATTTGAAGAGCGAGTGGTGAACGTGACTGTGCGTCGGCTCCTCTGACCTCAGTGTCTCGTCCTGAGATGGACTCCGTGTCACTGGTTCCCGCCGCAGCGCTGTGTTCAGGGGTTTCTGGGTATTCGGCCTGTGGCACTGCTATCATAGTACCGTCTTCTGAAACCTGGGACTTCTCCGTCAGTTTATCGATGTCTGAAGAGAGTTAGCCTGTCTTACATGAAGTGCCACTATCTCGTGGTCTTCACTAACACCAGTGTTGGGGATGTTACTTTTTAGGGTACGTTTACACGACAGCGATATGCTTAAAACGGAGACGTTTTTCCTTTGAGTTTTCCGCGTACAGACGACACCATTGTCAAAACGATCCCCATTCACACAGATCCGCGAAAACGTCTAAAAGCGCTGTATTCTGCTCCAGGCCAGTAGATGGCGATGAAACACTGTAGACTGAACACATAATACGCATGCGCATGATGTCATCGTCTTCAGAGATTCACGATTTTGCTGTTTACACGGATATGCTTTCAAAAACTTGCACTTTGAAACCCGTTTTCAAAAGTTTGCGTTTTCAGGGGCCCAAATCGCCGTTGTCGTGTAAACGAACGGCCAAAACGCATAAAAAGTTTTTAGTTGAAAACGGTCTCCGTGTAAACAACAAAAACGTGAATCTCTGAAGACGATGACATGCATGCACATGTGTATTACGTGTTTAACTATAGTGTTTCATCGCCATCTAGTGGCCTGGCAGCAGAATACAGCGTTTTTAGCCGTTTTCGTTGATCCGTGTGAACGTGGATAGTCTTGACAAAGGTGTCGTCTGTACACGAAAAACTCAAAGGAAAAACGGATTGTAAGCGTAAAACGTTTAAGCATATCGTTGTCGTGTAAACGTACCTTTAAAAGTAATGCGTAACAATATTGGGTTAAAAATAGCAGTAAAAAAATTAAAAATCAAACACAAATGTGATATTTAACTTCAGTTTTTGTTTATTAGTATGGTTGACTTGGATCATCGAAGGTCGCCAGCAAAGAAATTGGTTAATAAAGTGAGATTAAATACATAAAGTATATTTGTGTTATTTAACATATTTAATAACTGCAGGTTTGTGTAATATTCTGAGTTAGCATTTCACTGTTTTAATCATTTTGAGGAATAGTGAATCTGTTTTTGTGCAAGTGAGATGAGTAAATGCATGCGCACATTTAGATCTACAGTAACCGTCATGTTCACACACAACGCCTCTGCACTTACTCACGATTTCTCTCATCAGGGGGACTGAAGAAGTGTCAATCAAATCAAATTTGGGAAAACAAAGTAACTTGCGTTACTAATTTGAAAAAGTAACAGATATTTTGCTGTTAAATTAATGCATTACTTTACTAGTTACTTGGAAAAAGTCATCTGATTACGCAACTCACGTTACTTGTAATGTGTTACTCCCAACACTGGCTAATACTACTATATAATGTACAGTCAAACCAAAAATTATTCAGACACCAGATATATAATTTGTGATTTTTTTTTTTTTTACTAGTGTGTGCAGGACACTATAGTTCATTTATGTAAGTAAGGAGAGCAAAATAAAGTAAACTGTGACACATTATACCCAGAAACTCTTCATACAGTGACTACCAGTAACATTTATACAAATTTAGGAGCAATAATTATTCCGACACTTTGACCTGATCATGTTTTGCTGAAGTGTTTTTTCTTTAATTGCGAATGCTCTTTTTACACACAGACTGAACAACATGAAGCATTGCTTGGTAATCGGTTGAGCTAAACTGGTATTATCTAATTGTGTAGTTAAATTTAACAGCTGACAGATATTCAACATAATTCATCTGTGAGAGTCTAACAGAAGGACGGACAAAACCACTGAAATATCAACTGATCTGAGTCATATTTTATTACCATTTTCTAAACTACCGGGTCTGAATAAATGTTGGTTTGACTGTATATGATCCAGTAAACACAGCAATAAGCAGATCTACCTGGTATGGCCACGAGACTGGCCTTCAGTGTCCCGGGCTCCGCGGGGACAGCCGGTCTCGATCCCTCCATGGACACGGTCTCCTGGGAGCTGGTCCGGGATATAGCGTTCGGAGATTTCCTCTTCCTCTGCAAGGCCTTCTGGATGGTGGCCAGGTCGCTGGGCAGGTTGGCCAGCTGGTGGAAGACGTTGCGTTTCCGAATGATGGCGTACACCAAATTACAGTTACCTGATCAAAACAGCATCAGAGTTGGGGTCAGGGGTGGAAATCAATGGGGGCTTGGGGCAAATATGCCACCAAAATAATCAAAAACGCCCATCAAAAAAATTATTAAAAAAGATAAGGGGGCAAAAAATTCCCCTGCACAATTAAACTGAATCTATGACTGTCTCGATTGAAGTGAAATGTGAAAATGAATGAAAAGTGTCGATTGCATTACATTTAGATCTGCTCACGTTGCATCAGATTTCTATTTACACATTTTTAGCAGATTTGAGCATTATAACCAATCACACATTTCTGTTAAGCTATGAATGCAATGGCCAATCAGAGGCGTTTAGATTAGCCTCAGCTGAAAAAGCCGGCGTTTGTTTAAAAAAAGTGCCAACCTTCCCGTCTCTCTCTCTTGAATCCAACACGGAAGTGAATTAAGCTGCACTTCATCGTCTGGCCACTAGAGACCGGCTCCAGAAGAGAGTCAATCCCATAGACCCCCATGTTAAAATGCCCAACTTTACAGCAGAAAAACACGTTTACAGCCTGGTGCAAAAAGTGGTTTTGGTCTATAAAGCTAATTTTGCCCTTCATGACGACTGTGAGAGCGGTAAATTTTTTTGTAACTCATCCGTTTAAATGATAGTAAGCCTTAAAGTTGTGCATAATTAAGGGCGTGGCCACTTGAGTGACAGGTGGATTGCCGCTGATGTCACTGCTAGCCGTTTGTCTGCGGTCTGTTAGCGTCACGTCTCCTCAGCTAATCCGCCATTATGCAGTTGTATAAATATAAGTACACCACCATGAGCAGCGTTAAGCAGTCTGTGTAAATAAACATAAATGCAGTTTATTGCATAATAATATATAACATTATTTGTTATATATTAACATGATTTGTTATATATTTGTTAAGTATATATTGGTTATATATATACAAACTAGTGCTGTCAAACGATTAAAATATTTAATCGCGATTAATCACATTAATGTCATAGTTAACTCGTGATTAATCGCAATTAATCACACATTTTTATCTATTGTAAATGTCTCTTGATTTCTTTTTGTCCCATTATTTTTTCTCATTTTAATGCTCTTATTAACATGGAAAAGTGGATCGGCTTGCTTGGTGCAAATGTTTTTTATTGAAAACAACATTGACAATACTGTGTTCAATTTCACACTAAAACATTCTTACTTGGAGCAAATAATCTCTCACACAATGTAACTCTGTCCATCAATAAAAGGGTGAAAGAAATACTGACAGGTCCGGATATTGACGAGGGGGCGGAGAATTCGCATCAGCTGTGTGTGTGTGTGTGTGTGTGTGTGCTGGCCATCATCAAGTGGTGTTTCAGACTGGACGTGCTGCGATGATGATCAGTTCACAACGACAAAACACACAGATTACTTTGGTCTCGTCAATGGAACCATTTGGCAACTTTTTAAACGTAAACTTTCCATTCAGGATCTTATTGGCATCCATTTCGGCGTCTCGCGCTCGTCATCCACTCAAAACTTAACGTTAAAGACCCACTCCGATGAAAATAATGTTTTTCTAGGTGTTAACATGTTCTTGTGGCATTTTTCTGATGTTAGAGGACATATCTTGAGAAAAATAAGCTCAAAGTTCTATTTCTGAGTATTTCTACATTCAAATGTCTGTGAATCAGTAGCAGACGCTAAAATGCCGGCTAAAATAGACTGGAGTTGTGACGTAGTAACTCCACTGGGCGTCTCCACACGCGACGTCTTGGAGTGAAATAATGATCGGTGATCGGTGATAACTTTGATTAACTTCGGATAATAATAATTAACGTGTAAATACTGTTGCCCCACCGGTATTGGGGATGTAAGCTAGCGGGAGAGACAGAGCTCTCAGCAACGGGCAGGGGGAGGGTCGTCTCCGTGCCAACGGCTCCGCCCACAACGCAGAGGCGAATTGCTAATGAGCTACTGCCGCTCTGCTGAAGCGAAGTCCCAGAAAACGGCACAGGTTTTGTGATTTTGGCTAAAAATGGCATAATCATAATTTAAAGACCACTGGGAATGTTTAAAAATAGCTCAAAATATGATCGGAGTGGGACTTTAACCAACTTTTTGGCCGGCTCGCAAGCCCAAACAAGTGTGTGCGGTGCCTGTTGTTTTGTTTCCGGTCTAGCTAGATCCGCTTGCGCTTTGGTCGACGAAGCAACAAAACGTCCTCGCGCGGTGGAAGCCATTGAAATGAATGGGTTTCATAGCGCGGCGCCGCGTCCTGTTGCAGAAGCATGTGGAAAAAAACTACAAAGTTTGCTAGGCCAAAAAGACCGTTAATCGCGCGATAAAAAAATTAACGCCGTTAATAACGCGTTTAACTGACAGCCCTAATACAAACATGATTTGTTGTATATATTGACAATAAATTGAATAAATGTAAATAGTCAGATGCAGCTTCTGTTCCAGCTTTGCAGTGTAATGAAGGCTTTTGCTGATGTTGATAAATATTTTATTGGTAGCAATTGGCTAAATTTAAGTATCTGAAATAAAAGACAACACAAATGCATTAAATAAGGTCATTCTTAAAAAACAAAACAAAAGACATTTCTGACCCTGGTCATCTTTATGTAACTTTTTAGTAGAAGTAAGACCAAGAGTTTCAGAGTTGGCAGAACAGTAAGAGAATATCTAAAAGCCTCCTTTCAAAATTGGCAAAGATGACCGGGAGTGTGGACCTCACCATCAAACTGGTACTGAATGATGTTATTGAAGGCCTCCAGCAGAAAGAAGGACAGATGGTGGTTCTGAGGAGCAGAGAAGAGGAACCAGTTTGTGGAGAACGCCTCCAGGAGATGCAGGAGCTTGTTGGCCGCAACCATGGAGAGACTCTTCAGGTACGGAGACACTAAACAACCACGAATACACAAAACAAAGAAAAATTGAATGGGTTCGAGGAGTTTTGTGGTTGAAATGTGTAAAAGTAACAATCCTTCGCTCGTGGGTCAATTTGACCCCCTTATGAATTAATGTAATGGGAGGAATGCTTCAGGACACATAGAAAAACCTAAAAATGCTCAAAATTCAAACTAAAAATGCTAAAGCTTTACCAAAAAAAAATATTTGATAATGTCTACATCTGAATGCATACCGAGGATAAACTGACTTTAGGACCCAGAGGAACAGCTCATTTGCTCCATATAGAGCTATAAACCCATCTAGAGTTATGAAATATCATGTTATATTATTAATTTTCCACAAGAGGTCGGCAAAGACTCCCAATGTAAGATATTTGGAGCTGAATTAAAAGGGTTATGGATGAAATTGTGAGGTATTTTGAATTTAAAGGAGTAGTTCACTTTAAAAAATTTTTTTGCTGATAATGTACTCACCCCCATGTCATCCAAGATGTCCATGTCTTTCTTTCTTCAGTCAAAAAGAAACTAAGGTTTTTGATGAAAACATTCCAGGATTTTTCTCCATATAATGCACTTTGCTGGGCACCAAACGGTTCAAGGTCCAAAAGACAGTTTCAGTGCGAACTGCAAACTGTTCAAATGGCTTTAAACGACACCAGACGATGAATAAGGGTCTTATCAAGCGAAACGATCGCTCATTTAAAAAAGAAATAACAAAGTTTAAGTTTTATTTTTTTATTTTCGACTGAAGAAAGAAAGACATGGACATCTTGGATGACATGGGGGTGAGTAAAATATCAGCAAAAGTTTTTTTTTAAAGTGAACTAATCCTTTAAGTTGAAAGAATGTGAGGAATTTGCTTACATTACTATTTATTTATTATTTATTGATCAAATCCAGTAATTTAAAGGTAAAAAAAAAAAAAATCTTTAATAGAAAAAATATTATGAAAATTAAATAAAATTAGCTTTCTGAAAAAAAGATGTGTTACAAAGTGCGAGGGAAGGATGAAGGTTTAGATTGTTTTAGTCTCTTAAGCATATGAAAGAAAAAAGTGTCACGTTCAGTTTTTTGTGACTTAACAAATGCTGAAATCTGAATCCAGGTAAAGCCCTGTGCAAACCCAGACACTCACCGTTCACCACAATAGTGAGCAGGCAGTCGTAGAGAGGCTGTAAACGCTGATGGCCACTGGTGATTATCTTGTGGAAAACCTGCACACATAACCAGTGTTAGAGATTTAAAAACACCTCATGCGTTTCTAATCAAACCAGACGCAAAACCCACATATTAAACCTTTTGTGTGAATTGAAAGAAAGATTACGCGCCTGCGCACATGTATATTCAAACGCTCATATCTATAGACTGAACACGTAATATCAGCGTTCTCACAGATTCACGTTTACGCGGAGATGAGACGTTTTTCAACATTTTTCAAGGCTTGCACCTTTGAGCGTGTCTCTAGGTTTGCGTTCTCGAGCCCCAAACACTGCTGTTGTGCGGATGAACGGCCAGAACACAGTAAAGTGTTCAGTTAGAGCGGTGTCGTGTTAGCGGCCCCTAAGTTAATGACTAATGATCTTTGCAACGGAAGTGAATCAATCAAAACTAACTTTATCTGGACAATAACTTTATTCTAGAGCTGCTGTAAAGCCACACAATCTCTGTTACTGTAATCTCCTATTATCACTGTAAAGCTGCTTTGAAACGAGCTATATTGGTAAAGCGCTGTATAAGTGAAGGTGACTGGAGTGGCGGTGTGTGTCTCACCACTATGAGCAGGTCTGCGTGTGTGCCGGTGAACACTGGGATGTCCATGGGGACGTGAAGCGAGTACGGTTTGTTCAGACGCACACCGAAGTTCCTCTCTCCGCTCAGCAGAAGCAGAATGAAGACGCCGATGTGCATGAGACCGACCCGTGCTGAGGATCAACACACACACTCTCAACATCACGACACAAGCAGTCGTCTACATATAGAGACCTTCACGGGTACAGAAACAGCCCGTTTAAATCCAAGGGACAGAAAAAGTCAAACTAGTGGCTCAACTGTTTTCAACATTGATGATGATAATGAATGTTTCTTGAGCATCAGATCCTCATATTAGAGTGATTTCAGAAGGATCATGTGACACTGAAGACTGGAGTAATGATGAGGAAAATTGACACAGGAACAAATGACACTTTACTATATATTCACATAGAAAACAGCTGATTTAAATTGTCATAACGTTTCACAATACTACAGTTTTTACTGTATATTTGAATAAAAGCCCAAATTAAATCTGCATATCATAGAAAGCAATCGTGTCTCTTCAGAAAACTTGGATTAAACCTCACGATCCACTTTTACAATGTCATTGTATGCTTTTTAATGCGTGGATGTTTTGCTTGCGTGGACCTTTAATGGATGGGAGAATATTAAAAACATCTTCACTCGTGTGTGTTCTGAAGATGAACGAAGGTTGTATGTGTTTGGTGAGTAAATGATGAAGGAAGTGGTGAAGCAACTCTTCAAAAGCGCTCACATTGGTCGGCTCGGGCGTCGTTCAGGTAGAACAGGATAGGCACTAGTATGTCCAGCACATCGCTGCTCTTCAGCACAAAGAACAGGAATTTCTGGAAGAGAAAGCGCAGGGATTACGTGCGATGCTTCGGATCTGGAGCGTACTGAAGCGGCGCCCGATCTCTTACCTTGTTGAAGTCGCAGAGCTTCCAGAAAAGCACCAGCAGCTCCTGGTGGAACTGGATCTTCTTGGTGGAGTTGGGCAGGTACGTCTGAGTGAGCGGGTTGGTCAGCAGGCGCGCCAAACCTTTCAGCACGAAGTCGTAATCCTGCAGACGCGAGGAGAAACACGTCAACACAACAATGCTGGGCGTTTCCTTGACGTATCGCGAGAGCTTCTCCGTACCTCCTCCCGGTGGATTCTGGACAGGTAATTCACGAAGAGGTTGTTCGGGCCGGCGGACTATGAAACGAGAGAAACATTAGAAGGTGTGGCTCACATAATAATCAGCAGAACATTTTTGGTAACGCTTTATTTTACAGTGTCCTTGCTACACATGTACACTACCGGTCAAAGGTTTTGGATCGGGAAGATTTTAATGCTTTTAAAAGAAGTCTCTTCTAAGGCTGCATTTATTTGATTAAAAATACAGTGAAAACTGATATATTGTGAAATATTATTACAATTTAAATCAGCTGTTTTCTATGTGAATATATAGCTAAGTGTAATTTATTCCTGTGATCAAAGCTGAATTTCAGCATCATTACTCCAGTCTTCAGTGTCACATGATCCTTCAGAAATCACTCTAATATGATGATTTATGATAAAGAAACATTTATTATTACATGCAACTAACCCCAAACCAATCCTAACCCTATAGTGAGTACATGTAGTTGATTATTATCACTCTGTACTGAAGTGTACTCTAACACAGACACCTTAAAATAAAGTGTAAGCTCCTTTTGAAGTGTAAGTGTATGCTTTGGTGTGTGTTGTGTGCATTGTGGGGTGTGTGTTGCTCACGTCCTGCTCCTCCATGCGTGCGGGGGAGGGGGGGCGGCCCTCGTGCTCCAGGCTCACGATGAGGATCTGCATGGCCTGCTCCACCAGCTGCTCCCGGTAGTCGGAGAACAACAGGTGGTTGTAGGGGATCCCGTAGCCCACGGGGTCGTACGCGCACACCACGTTCAGCAGAGAGGTGAAGAGAGGCAGAGCGTGCCTGAGAGAGAGAGAGAGAGAGACTTTTGTATCGCTGATGCTTTAACAGCAATGCTAGGTGGTTCCTAAGGTGTTCTGGATGGTTGTTAGGGAGTCACTATGCAGTTACTAGAGATTTCTGGATGGTTGTTAAGGTGTTGCTAGGAATTGCTATGCAGTTACTAGATTGCTGGATGGTTGTTAGGGTGTTGCTAGGTAGGCATTGCTATGCAGTTACTAGAGATTACTGGATGGTTGTAAAGTTGTTGCTAGGAATTGCTATGCAGTTACTAGATTGCTGGATGGTTGTTAAGGTGTTGCTAGGTAGGCATTGCTATGCAGTTACTAGAGATTTCTGGATGGTTGTAAAGGTGTTGCTAGGAATTGCTATGCACCTACTAGAGGTTTCTGGATGGTTGTTAAGGTGTTGATAAGTAGGCATTGCTATGCAGCTAGAGATTTCTGGATGGTTGGGTGTTGCTAGGTAGGCATTGCTATGCAGTTATTAGAGATTTCTGGATGGTTGTAAAGGTGTTGCTAGGAATTGCTATGCACCTACTAGAGGTTTCTGGATGGTTGTTAAGGTGTTGCTAAGTAGGCATTGCTATGCAGTTAGAGATTTCTGGATGGTTGTTAGGGTGTTGCTAGGTAGGCATTGCTATGCAGTTATTAGAAATTTCTGGATGGTTGTAAAGGTGTTGCTAGGAATTGCTATGCACCTACTAGAGGTTTCTGGATGGTTGTTAAGGTGTTGCTAAGTTGGCATTGCTATGCAGTTAGAGATTTCTGGATGGTTGTTAGGGTGTTGCTAGGAAGGCATTGCTATGCAGTTACTAGAGATTTCTTGATGTTTGTTGGGGTGTTGCTAGGTAGGTATTGCTATGCAGTTACTAAGGTGTTCTGGATGGTTGTTAGGTTGTTGCTAGGTATTGCTGTGCAGTTACTAGAGATTTCTGGTTGCTAGTTAAATGCTAAGGTGTTCACTGCAAAAACGTGTTTTTGTGTGTCTTATTTTCCAGTACAAATATCTAAACATTGTTATATCAAGATACATTTGAGAAGCACAATAGCTTTGTTTTCATCCACCTATTTTTATGCGAATTTTGGGAAATCACATTAAAAATCACATTCCCTGGATGTGATTGGTTAACTAGATTTACCAGCGGACCAATCGCATCACAGCATCTCTGCTGTAGGTTTGGTGGTTCAGAAACGCCTGAGCCAAAGTCTGTCATCAGAATGATTTGGTTTAATTAGCGTCTTACATAATTGTTGACAAACACCGGCACCTGAACGCAAGATCACATGACAGCGTTTATTCATCTGACGCTCTGAGACGCAACTCATTTATGATGATGGAGGAAAAAAGAGCCAGAGTTTCTTCCCGATTGCAGCAACTTCCATTTTTATTACTGATATGTTGCACCAAATTCCAGGAAGTGGCAGTTTTGCTCTGTTGAACACATCGGATGGAAACACCGCTTTATTCGCAAATGTTTTATGCAATATTGCACATACGTTAAATCAGCACCTTTGGATGGAAGCATAGCTATTGAGACAAGGGGCCAGATTTGTGTCAGCAAAAACCCTCTTTTGGCCTTTAAAACTACTGTCAGGATTTACTAAAGACACACAGCGTAAAAGTAGCGATGAAACAGTTATATTTGCAGCTGCGGTAGTCAATTTACTGGCATTTGTGTCCATTATTTAACACTGAAAAAGCCATTTTGAACTTGACATGCTACGCTAATTTGATCTGGCTGTTTTTTAGCCATTTCATTACATGAACGCTGACATATTCACACCGTATGATCCTGTTTGAAGTGGAGTAAGTACGTTTAACAATGAAACATTTATGCTATGCAAAATTTTAATACCTAACTTGACATCACACCCATTTACTTCTATTTGGTGTGATTTCTAAAGGCTAGACTCAATAAGAGCATCCAACTCTGGCCCTTAAGGTCCTCTTTCTTGCAGAGTTTAACTCCAACCTTGATCAAACTCACCAGCCTGGTTTCTTACAAGCCCAGATCAAACAAACCCACAATGAAGCTTACTTGCAGTTTAATGCTTAGGATTGGAGGCTTGACTAAGCAAACACACTGGTAAGTCTGCAGGTGTTTGATTGGGGAGTGTTGTGTTTGTCTTGTGTGTGTCCCGAGGAGCCTGACCTGTTCTCGGCGGAGCAGAAGAAGGAGACCCAGGGGTTGAGGAGACTGTTTTCTGCTGTCGGCGGCAGGTACATGGCCTCTGAGAAACAGGTGAGCAGCAACCTCAGCAGCTCAGACCTATAAACACACACACACACACACACTTAGAGGCTAACATTTGTTCGGGAATCCTGCGGGTCATGGGAAACAAAATCACTATTAATCACGTGATTGGGGAAATATGTCAGCGGGAGTGGGCGGGACCGGGAATCGTAATAATACCCAACTTTATACACAAAAATGCTGTTTATATAAATAAACTATATATTTAAATTTTGAACTCAATTCTAGATGCCCTGTCTCTTTTCTGCTCTCCTGTTTGCTTTGGTGTGGCTGCCTAAGTGAATGACGTGCTCCACCCGTAACATTTGGAATGCCAATGCCAACCACCAATAATATACAGAAGAAGAAGGCTTCTCCGCGCACTTTGTAGCCGCGAAAATCATAATCAAAATGGAGTCAGACATGAAAGCCACGCTGCAACGACTACTGTAATGGACTATAAATGCAGTCCAATTACCATTTACTGTCGGAAAATGAAACCTCAGTTGTGCTCACCGACATGTCTGAAGTAACCGGAAAATGTTTACGAGTTGAGAAAGATGGCGTAATGTGTGCGTGTGTGTGTGCGTGCCTATGTTTGCATGGATGATTTAATGTATGTGCATTGTTTAAGCTGGCTTTCAGTTCAATAAAATAACAAACTACATTCGGGATTTTTATTCAACCAAGGTGGGAGGTTTGAAAATCCCTCTAACACGTGTGTAATACCAGTGTACTACCCATGTCATTATACACATTTCTGTCCTCATAAATCACAAAAACAAACACACACACACACACACTGGAGAGTATGTAGACTAATCTGATCATCCGTTTGGGTGGAAAAACAGATCCGGGCTTTTAGATGTCTTGTGTGGTTACTGATTAAAAGGCCCCCATGGAAACTCAAACACACACACACACACACACACTTGTGGGCCTGGGAAAGGACTCGGTCTCCTGACACCTGGTCACTCACTCTCACCTGTTGAGGTCGTGGATGTAGTTGAGCGGGGGGGACTGAGCGAAGCCCACGCCGGCCTCCCAGATGTACTCGCAGCTGTCCATCGCCTGCATGTCCTCCACCGACTCCTGTGCACGACACAAGCTCAATCTGAGACCTCAGTGTGGATCAAACTGACTGAACAATCATCAACTGGTGTTTTATTACATCGCTGACATGAGTAGATATGTATATCTTGCAATAGCTCTGCGATGCGCCACACATTATGTAATCACGTTGAAAGGTTAATTGCGTGTTAAGGGCAAAAAACTCAATCTCATTTTCTCCTTCAACTTCAAAATTGTCCGACATCGTTGTTTTAGCTTTTATTTATTTATTTTTGTAAATGGCTTTTGTCTTAGTCTTTGTACGTTCCCTTTGTAAACACTCGTTCGGTTCTTCCGCCTACGTCCCGCTTGACCTTTCAACCTGATTACGTAATGTGTGGCGCATCACAGCTAGTGCAAGATGAGCATTTATGGTTAAAAAGTATATAAATGTTTTTTTGTTTTTTTTTATAAAATGGCTGATGGTTTGGCTAGATCAGACTATTATCCCTCGGCTGGGATCATGAGAGGCTCAATCTGAGACTGAGTTTAATGTAGATCAAACTGCACACAGACGGACTGACTGAGACAAATCAACTACTGTAACTTCATTACACCGCTGACATATTCACACCATATGATACCGTTTGAACTGGAGTAAATACAGTCAAACCAAAAAATATTCAGACACCAGATATAATTCTTTATATTGTTTTACTAGTGTGTGCAGGACACTATAGTTCACTTATGTAAGTGAGGAGAGCAAAATAAAGTAAACTGTGACACATTATACCCAAAAACTCTTTATACAGTGACTACCAGTAACATTTATACAAATTTGGGACCAATAATTATTCCGACACTTTGAGCTGATCATGTTTTGCTGAAGTTTGAAGACTAAAAATTTACTGTTTAATGTTATTTTTTTGTATTATTTTTCTTATTTATTTTCATAATCATTTCATAATGTATGTTGTACATGTGTGCTGAGCAGAGATATGGGCTGAGCTATATTTTGCATACAAGTATGTGTGCAATGCAACGCTCAACTGATAATGATACATCAAATGTGTTCAGTTCTTTACAAGGAAAGGAATGTTTTTCAACTGATGCAATGTACCACAAATGTATACACTGAGGGAAAGTGGATTGTACCACGTGTAAGCATGAGGTATACGTTCCATTTTAAACATAAGCTACATGTTTTGCTACCTTACAAGGAAGTTGTAAGTCCCAGAGAGGTGTATATAAGCTCAATCTCACTGTACTGACTCAGAGAAACATAAAGGCATGACGGGGTGAGGGGATAGAGAAATGGGGAACAGAGAAACCTGGAATGAAGACCTCCTCTCATGTAGCCTTATTCTTCTATGCCTGTTTCCCTCGCCTGTCTGATACATGTATAAAATAATAAATAGAGATCTCTTGGCAAAATATCTGGTGTAGCGTCCGTGATTCTCTCACTCTGAGTTCTGCTCATATTTTATTATCATTTTCTAAACTATAGCGAATAGACTGTGTTAAATAATGTTAATGTTAAACTGTGTGATAATGTGAGAAATGTTGAAGGTGTCTGAATACATTTTGGTTTGACTGTATGTTCAACACTGTAACAGTTATTTTAATATCCAACTTGACACCCATTTGGTGTGATTTCTAAAGACTGGTCACGATAAGAGCATCCTCACACAACAATCTCCCTAAACCAGGGCTTTTCAACACGTAAAATCCACTTTCTTGAAGAGTTTATCTCCAACGTTGATCAAACGCACCTACTTGTGTCTTTCTAGTAATCCTGAAGACCTTGATTAACTTGTTCAAGTGTATTGATCAGAGTTGGAGCTAAACTCTGCAAGAAAAGTGTTGAGAAAGTTGAGAGACACTTGATTATTGGTAAATGCTAAAGACTGGATGAATGCTAAAGACCAGAGCTGGGTGATGATGATGATGTCATGGCAACACTGATTGGCAGAACACAGACAGAGTCTCAAGCCCTTCACTAAACACTCAAAAAATATATTTAGGTCTAAATTTAAGATTTATGTATTAGAATTTCCATCCATTTGGATTACATCGGTTAAGGAAAACTAATAAACTTAATGTGATGCATATTTGTCAGTATACATTTTACATACTTTAAAAGTCCCCCTGTGGTGAAAATCCAGTTTTTAATGTTGTTTATATGTCTATGTGGTGTTTTTAATGTGCTTTAAGACACACCATGTGTAAATTCATAAGTCGACAGCATTGCTGAGTATTTTCTGCTTAAAACTGCAGTGAACCAAAGACAGTCTTTGAAATCGCTGGTGTTTCTGACGTCACACACTACCTTGTAACCAATCAGATCAACGTGTGATCGTAAATTAAGTTATTTACACTGTTGAAGAGTTGGATTCTCATGCTAAACATGGACAAAGTTTCAAAAAAACAGTTGGACGTTTGAAGGAGTATTTTTTTTTGCCAAATGTTCGTATAGGTTTCGGAAAGTTTTTTCCGAGTATGGCCCTGTATGACGTCATAAAGTTCGGGATTCCTTGTATGGGCAATTCTCCCCAGAAGAGCGCTTGAACACACACACATCTACCAGGGCTGCGTTTCCCAAAAGCATCGTAAGCAAACTGCATCCAAAGCCTAAGCATCGTAAGTCTAAGTTGAGTGTCTAAGTTGAATAACCACCAATGGTCTCTACAATCAACTTAGGCTTACGATGCTTTTGGGAAACGCAGCCCAGAGCGAGAGCAAGAGCAACGCCCATCAATGTGTTTCGTTTGTTGCTCTTGTTTTTTAGACCACGAAATCATCAATGTCACCAAAGACGTGTGTTTGGTAACACTTTACAATAAGGTTCATTAGTTAACAATAGTTAACTACCTTAATTAACATGAACTAAGAATGACCAATACTTCAACAGCATTTATTAATCTTATTTCATTTTAATTTCAACATATACTAATACATTATTATTAGTTAAAACATTAACTCATGTTAACTAATGAACCTTATTGTAAACTTTATTGTGAGTAAAACTGCATCAAATGTCTATGTTTTTTTTAATGCAATACTACTCTATAGGTACTCAAGATTAACATGAGATTGGCAGAAACTGTGTGTGTTATGTGCCCTTTAATGTTTGTAAGTAATTATAGCAGTATTTTAAAATGTATCCGATGTTTAATATCGTACCCATAAGAGCATTACAATAATCTAGCGCATGAACTAACTGTTCCGCACATGACGTAATGTAAATATATGTTTAAGATGGAAGAATGTGGTTTTACAGATACTAGAAACATGGCTTCCAAATGAAAGATTGCAGTCAAAGAGTCTTTAGACGTTTATTCCATACATTTAGCATTATTAATCAGCATATAAAGAGCATTTCACAACAAAAAATTTTTATCATTTTGAAAATTATTTAGAGATGGCAAGGAAACTTTGAAATTACTAGTTAACTTTGTTTTGTCCTCATGATGAGAGTTGTGATTATTAGATTGTGTACATTGTTTGTTTTTAGTAGTTTATTGGTCCATACTAAAATATGTCCATACATAAAAAAAAATAGCCTGTTAAAACATGTGATCTAACCCTTTTTATATTCATATCCCGTTGGGAGAAATATTTACTTTTAAGTATATTTGCCTAAAAATTATAGTCTAGTAAAATATTCACTGTTTTGGCCCAAGATTCTCATCTTTGATGACTATTTTGAGTGTTTAGGTTTTGTATTTTTTTATTTACTAAGTACAATGGCTGCCTCGATGGAAATGTATGTGTATGATTTAATCTTCTAAGGGTAGCATGTACAGAGTGAACAGCAACGGTCCTAGTACTGAGCCTTGTGGTACTCCATGCTGAACTTGTGATCGATAAGACATCTCTGCTACAAACTGATAACGGTCAGATAAGTATGATTTAAACCGCAATTCCACTAATACCAACATAATTTTCGAGTCTATTTAAAAGAATGTTGTGGTCAATGGTGTCAAATGCAGCACTAAGATCAAGTAACACTAATAGAGAGATACAACCACGATCGGATGATAAGAGCAAATCATTTGTGACTCTGATGAGAGCTGTCTCGGTACTATGGTACGGTCTAAATCCGGACTGAAAATCCTCGCAGATATCATTTCTTTCAAAAAAGGAACATAGTTGTGAGTATACTGCCTTTTCTATTAATTTTGACAGAAAATGTAGAATCGAGATTGGCCTGTAATTGACTAATTCTCTAGGATCAAGTTGGAAATCCTCGCTGTCTGAAAACATAACTTGTACAGATGATGAGCTACAAATCTAACAGTGTTGAACTCACAGGTCTTCCTCTCTTGTGGCTTTGAACGGTGAATTCTGGACAGAAAAGCAAGTCAGCAAGAGCCAGTAAGAGAGACTCGGCCAGCGGTCGGGCCCCTTCATCCTCATCCTCCATATCATCCATCTATCCAGAGAAGAAAAGATAAAACTGTACTTCAACTGGTTTACTTTACTTATTACTTACAGCGTACTTGTGTTTTTAACTATAATCTATGACTATAATGCATCTGTTTACTATAATGTATCTGTTAATAACAGCCCTTTGGTCATAATATTTGAAATCTGATGTGTAAAATAGGTTGAAATTGATTTTTAGGAAGTCGGATTTCTCCTAGAGCAAATAACCAACCACAACTAAGACTAGGGATGCTCGATATATCGGTCGCCATATCGGTATCGGCCAATATATGTTTTTTTAATGTTATCGTTATCGGCCCGATAAGAAAATGTGTCCGATATATTAAAGCCGATAAATAATGTGTTATTTCCTTCAGCTGAGACACTTCAGATGCTCATGTTCAACATGATGGTTTTAGATTCCTTGAAATATGATTGAAATCACTTCAAAAAAGCAAAATATAGGCTAGTTAAGTCTGTAATATCGGTTACATAAAATTATCATGAGAACATCATTATAATTGTGTGTTTGGGACATGGATATTAATGATGAGACTTTTGTTTTTGTAATCAGGCTCTCAAAAATTATACTTGGATTTAGATTTATCGGCCAATATATCGGTTATCGGTTTTCAAATATAAAAAAAAAATTATCGGTTATCGGTATCGGCCAAAATGTTCATATTGATGCATCCCTAGCTAAGACACAATGTAAATGCATAAATGTGCTTGTGTGAATGTACTGTATGCTGAGGGACACTCATCTGAGAGCGTTTCATAATCCTACCCTGCTATTTCTGAATGCACTTAAATACAGGTTTGAATTTACATTCGGTTTCTGTGGTTGTTGATAGCACTAAAAGGTTATTATTCATCGTGGTCCTCCTCACCCCCGCTTAGGGTTGCCACCTTCAATACAAAAAAATAAGGGACGCCTGCCGGCGGCCGCGGGGGCCAAAGCCCTCAGGGCCACAATGACCACAGGCCCGACGGTATGCCAATGGTATCATAACTCAAAACATATTTTTCAGGAAAGTAATAAGATCATACCAATGGACACTATAATAAGCTATCTGCTATTGAAATCATTGTGAATAAATCACTCTCTATCACAAACAACGTTAACAAAGTGTGACAATGAGATTACAAAAAAAATGGCCTTTCGTCGGAGTTGTATGTGAGATGTTAACTTATTAACTTATTAAATTAACAGATCCATAACTTATTCACTATAAATTAAACAAATGTGTTGATACTCAAACAAATACTAAATTTGATTGGAAAAAACTATGACTTTAGCAAAGGATCTTGAACATCAAAAACATCAGTAGACCAGTAGTACTGTGCAGTATTGGACTATAGGCGTTAAGTGTACTTGTCACTCCATGCAGCACTGAGTAGCTGTTTCTTTCAAACATGTAACACCATCCAAACAGTGATACCACACATAAATAACCTATAATCTACAAACATTTCTAAATTTAATTATAACACTATTTTTATTATTGGTAAGAAAATCTATTTATGTATTTATTTATTTATGTATTCAGACCTATTGACCTATTCTCTAGATTTGTTAAGCATAAGTCATTTTCTTCACACATGCACATTTTTATTATTAAATATGTAGGCCTATTAAATATCTCTCTCTCTTATTTAAAAAATGCATGTGTCTGACTACCTTAACTATAATAAACAAATCATACCATAATGTATGGATATAATTCATTTACATTGAAACATTATTTCTTAGCAAATGGGCATAGGGTATGGAGCATATGAAAACGTAATCAATCAGAACATTATTGAGCTGATTAAAAAACTGTCATTACACTATGACTATCTGCTTCGGGAGATCCTTAACGTATGAAGAACTGTGAGACGGTGCTTTGATTTCTCTAAGCTAGCATTGCTATCAACTCTCTGCCAAAAGACCCGCCCTCCTCTGACTCTGATTGGCCCTGAACCTGATGTTATTAAACAAACCAATCAAACCAACAATGGCAGCGAGTATTACCCAATCAAGGGTAGAATAGGACGAGTCTTCACAGAATGCGGGTGTTATGATTTGCATGTGATGATGCATTTAAGACAACTCGGAAATACGGGACAAACCGCGTCCCGTATTGATTCAAGACGGGACGCGCTGTTTATTTCACAAATACGGGACGATTCCGTATTTTAAGGGACGGGTGGCAACCCTACCCCCGCTCTGCCAGCGCCAGGGATGGTGGACCAGAAGAAGCCTCTCCAGTCCTGGTCCTCGAAGATGTAGGGCAGGATTCGAGTGAGCATCCGACTGCAGTTCAGCACCATCTGCTTCTCCTTCTCTGAGGGACAACCGGACTCAGCGCCCTGAACCAGCTTTTCCACCGCCTGTGACCACACACACACACACAAACTCATGTCAGAGTATATAGAAAGCTAGTATGACCCGCTACACCCACACATCCACACACACACACTCATGTCAGAGTATATAGAAAGCTAGTATGACCCGCTACACCCACACATCCACACACACACACTCATGTCAGAGTATATAGAAAGCTAGTATGACCCGCTACACCCACACATCCACACACACACTCTCATGTCAGAGTATATAGAAAGCTAGTATGACCCGCTACACCCACACATCCACACACACACTCTCATGTCAGAGTATATAGAAAGCTAGTATGACCCGCTACACCCACACATCCACACACACACTCTCATGTCAGAGTATATAGAAAGCTAGTATGACCCGCTACACCCACACATCCACATACACACACTTACACACACACACTGAGGAGCCGAGTCATGCAGTCAGACTAAAGCCTTATTCGGACGGGACTAGTTTAACATGGAGAGTTGGGTGAAGTAATAATTAGCAGAGCTTCTCAGTGATTTTAGTAATCTCAGTCATCATTACGGACATATCAGTAAAGATTACGGCGACTTTTGCCTTCTGGAAAAAGGTCCGGAAAAATGATCTTAGGTAATGCTAATCTCATGCGAATAGACCCGCTGTAAATACGTAAATATTCCGTCATTTGCTGTTTTAAAGTAGTTTTCCGCGGTTTTTCACGTATGGAGGCGCTTGATGAAGCATTCAGTTGCGTTCTAGACGCTGGGAACAACTCGAGTGTTTTACACACACCACTCAGATCAAAAAAGAAGATGGAAAGCACTCGTTAGAAGCACAGCACTTCTTTTAGCGTTAGATAAGTGCCTATTACTAACATACAATGAATTTATTCAGACCTAACTGTTTTATATATAGAAATATAGGTTATATATGTGTTTGCGCACATGTTATTAGGAAGCAGCGTAATACACACATGCCGACAGGAGGGGGACGGCGCTGTGTAAATCGAGTTACCCATCAGCCATCACACTTCTGCTAGTTTTACTGAGATCTCTTATCCCGTGAGAATTGGCCATTATTATTACAGACGTCCTGTGGTAAAATTACATTACTCCACCTCTCCATGTTAAACTAGTCCCGTCCGAATAGGGCTTAAAACTACCAATTCACGTTTATTTGTATAGCGCTTTTCACAATACATATTTCACAGCAGCTTTACAGAAAGTGCATGAGTTCATATTACAATTTAGAGTGATCTGTTATCAGAGGAGACTGTCTCTAAGTTATGCATTTCAGAAATGTACATATAAAAAATCACAGTTAGATACAAATGTATTAATTTAAACAATGTAATAGTTTAATTCAGAAACAATGAGCTCATTGAAGTAATGAATACTTGTTTGTTTGTTAACAAATGATTATGGCATTTAGAAAATGTCACTGTATTAGATAACTACACATTAAAGCAATAAAGTGTTATTTAGTTTTATTAATATTTTGAATTAGCTTTTATTTTCATATTTTTAGCTTTTATGTTTATTTTAGTTGAGTTTTTAGTGATTTCATTATGTGCTTTTGTGTCTCATTTTATTAGTTATATATTGCTATTTATGTTTAATTTGTTTATATTTATTTCCAGTTAATAATTTTAGTGCTTTAGCCTTAACTTGTCTCAGTTTATTGCCAAGTTAACATTTCTAATTTTCATTTAGTTTAAGTTTTTCAACTAACATTTATATTTTATAAATATAATCAGCTTTATTTTAGTTAGCACAGATGTTTTTAATAGTTTTAGCTAATAATAGCCCTGAATCAATATCTTCAAACTGTTTTCGCACATGCTTTTTTTCTTTTCTTTTTTTTTTAAGAAATAACTTTCCAAGCACAGGTTAAGATCATCGCATTAACTGATCCATCAACATTCGACAAACACAGTACATTCGAACAGTACCACTGTGAAATATTATTACAATAAGTGTTGGTTAAGTTATCTACAAAATTACTTATTACTTAATTACTCACTTACTTATTAAATCCTTAGTTTCTATCAAGCTCAACCAGTTAAACAATACAAGGATAGACATGAAACAGCTCTTTTAATTCTTTCAAATAAATAATATAAAATTGCAGATATTACTCTTGAACTGAACTTGAAGGGAAAAGTTATTAAATTACAGTATATTAATTACTTCTGAATACATCAAACCCAACATTTTTTCAAATGTAAAACAGCTGTTTTCTATGTGAATATATAGCAAAGTGTAATTTATTGAATTTCCTCATCATTACTCCAGTCTTCAGTGTCACATGATCCTTCAGAAATCACTCTAATATGATGATTTGATGATCAAATAAACATTTATGATTATTATCAATGGTGAAAACAATTGAGCATCTTCATATTTTTGTGGAAACAATGATACTTTTTCCATGATTATTAGATGAATAGCAAGTCCAAAAGAACCGCATTTATTTGACATATAATCTTGCATTATAATAGTCTTTACTGTCACCTTTGATCAATATAATGCATATCATATTTATTGAATGTTTTATGTTTTAAATATTACTCACCCCAAGCTTTTAAAAAGCAGTGTAAACCATATTATATATAAAGCTTTTTTTTGTGAAATGTTTTGTTCAAAATGTGTGTTAGCATTATCTTCCTATAAAATAACCCCCCCTTGATGTCTTCTGTTAGACATTCACACAAGTTTAAAACTTCTTGGAGCCACTGTGAAATTAAACCGAGTACATGTGCACAATCATTTCCAAATAATGTGTCACACTAATATAACCTCTCTATGATGGCCTGATGCACTGTAAACCCTAACGCTCAAAATAATCAATTGGTTTGAGTAGGACAAACTTAAATTAAACTAATTAGTTCAGTCAAATTAACTTTTATGAGTATTTAGCACTTCCTTTTTCTTTCAAGTTCACAGAACTGATATATTTAAGTAAACTGAACTGTTTCATTGGTTTGAGTTTTATGGAATTATTTCTTTTAATTTAGACGAACTTAAGTTTAACTGAAACGGCTGGGATGTCTATTTCCCAGCATGCTTTGCCGATGGCACTCTAAAGGGAGAGTAAATGCTACAAATAAGTGTAATATAATGGAGTTTTTTATGCAAGATTAATGTTAAGTTGGAGATTTAGTAGTGATTAATTTGATGTTTTGTTATGCTAATTTTGAAGATTTTCTGTTAAAGTTGGTGTTAGGATAGTTACCATCATGGTGACGAGTGGTGCATGAGCTTGATTTGAGAGCAAATTCAGCCTTTTTATTGCTGCACTCATACAACAAGTGCTACTGTTTAACATATTATTGTTAACAAATTATTATGATAGCAAACTAGCTTGTTAAAGCTAGCTAAGTGTTCACATTGAGATTACATGAAAGTTTTAGCTGAGGAGAACAACAGACGTTAACACTTCTCTCTCTCGCCCGCCAGCATGTGAGCCTGAAGACTTTGAAGATTTCTAATCATGTTTTCCCTCTGATGGGCAGTCTCAAACAGGAAGTGCAAGGATTGAGACAGGAAGGGGAAAGTAAAGCTGTTTCCTGCACCAGCAACTCCAGATTCTCACAGTCACCGCCTAATATTGATGAGGCACACTCTCTAATGATGCTCACACTTTTTTTTGTAGTGTCCTTGTTACACTTGTTACATGTAATTACTGTAAATATCCCACTTAACATTATTCTTGCACAAAAAAAAGCTTAATTTTAGCATGTACTCTCCCTTTCGAGTGTCATGGCAAAGCATGCTGGGAGATAGAAATCTCAGCCCAGAGTCAGTTAAATTTAAGTTAAATTAATTTAAGTTAATTCAACTAAATAAAATTAAAAGAAACAAGTTCATAAAACTCAAAACAATAAAACATTTCAGATAACTTAAAATGTGTCAATTTTGTGAACTCAAAAGAAAAAAAAGTTCTAAATACTCATAAAAGTTTATTTGATTTAACTAATTTGTTTAATTTGAGTTGGCTCTACTTAAACCAGTTAATTAATTTGTAAACAGTAGTAACTATAAAGTATGTATAATTATAGGCAACTATCCTAAAAAAAAGTGTGTGTGTGTGTGTGTGTGTGTGTGTGTGTGTGTGTGTGTGTGTGTGTGTCTGGCTGTGTGTGTGTGTGTGTGTGTGTGTGTGTGTGTGTGTGTGTGTGTGTGTGTCTGTGTGCGTGTGTGTCTGTGTGCGTGTGTGTGTCTGTGTCTGTGTGTGTGTGTGTGTGTGTGTCTGTGTCTGTGTGCGTGTGTGTCTGTGTGCATGTGTGTGTGTGTGTGTGTGTGTGTGTGTGTGTCTGTGTCTGTGTGTGTGTGTGTCTGGCTGTGTGTGTGTGTCTGTGTGCGTGTGTGTCTGTGTGCGTGTGTGTGTGTCTGGCTGTGTGTGTGTGTGTGTGTGTGTGTGTCTGTGTGCGTGTGTGTCTGTGTGCGTGTGTGTGTGTGTGTGTGTCTGTGTGTGTGTGTGTCTGTGTGTGTATGTGTGTGTGTGTGTGTGTGTGTGTGTGTGTGTGTGTCTGGCTGTGTGTGTGTGTCTGTGTGCGTGTGTGTCTGTGTGCGTGTGTGTGTGTGTCTGGCTGTGTGTGTGTGTGTGTGTGTGTGTGTGTGTGTGTGTGTGTGTGTGTGTGTGTGTCTGTGTGCGTGTGTGTCTGTGTGCGTGTGTGTGTGTGTGTGTGTGTGTGTGTGTGTCTGTGTGTGTGTGTGTGTGTGTGTGTGTGTGTGTGTGTGTGTGTGTGTGCGCGTCGTGGCTTCCGTGAACTCACTCTGAGGCCCACACAGAAGAAAATTAATAGTTGAATAAAGTCGTTATTTTAGTTTTTTTGCGCACAAAAAGTATTCTCGTCGCTTGATAAACTTGAGTCACTGCAGTCACTCGGACTATTTTAACGATGTTTTTACTCACTTTTCTGGGCCGGCAGAATTAAATTACAATGGAAGCCTATGGAGGAGTGATCCAGCTCTCAGATTTAATCAAAAATATCTTAATTTGTGTTGCGAAGATGAACGAAGGTTTTACGGGGTTGGAACAACATGAGGGAGAGTCATTACTGACACAATATTAATTTTTGGGTGAACTAACCCTTTAATGTCACCGTGTAACCGGTGTGGTTTATACCTTGTAGCAGAGAGTTGCCAGATTGGAGGGCGACTCCTCTCGCACGGCTCTGATCTCAGCGGCCGGCACCAGGGCAAACACGTCCTGGACACTGGTGGCGCTGTCCGCCCAGAACTGATCCCAGAACGCATCGTCTGTGGCCTCCACGGGCTGAGGAGGAGGAACACACCGGTTGATTATGATTTCACTTTTCTAACTTTAGTTAGTGTGTGATGTTCCCGTTTGAGTGTAAACAACATCTGCAAAGTTACAGCGCTCAAAGTTCAAAGCAAAGGGAGATATTTTCTTTTACAGAAATGGCTTTATAAGGACTACAACAAACGGCTGGTAGGAACTACAATGAGCTTCTTCCCGGGTTAGTGAAATCACAAACCCTAACATTTACATAAACCCCGCCCCCGGTACACGATTTATAGATTATCATGACAGAATATGCTAATCAATGACTAAGATAACCACATCAGCTTCATAAATGCATCAACTAGCCATTCAGAAATGTTGTCTACATGTTGTCACTTCTCCTTGAGTCTCTCCATCTTTGTCCGACTTCGGTTTGAACATAAAAGACACAAGCTCTTGAAGCTCCGCCCCCTGCGCCGGGAGCAGCCGCTCATTTGCATTTAAAGGGACACACACAGAAACGGTGCGTTTTTGCTCACCCTCAAAAAGCGACAATTTTAACATGCTATATAAAAATATCTGTGTGGTATTTTGAGCTAAAACTTCACACACACTCTCTGGGGACATCAGAGACTTACATCTTGTGAAAAGGGCATTATAGGACACTTTTAACACACATGCAAATCCGTTCAGACTGAAGCAACAGCTGGGCTGAGCCAAACACACATCAATATTTGATTAACAGTTCAAAATAATGATGCAATCACTGGCAGAGAACAAGAAACCGATGGTCAGGTTATGAAAAGTAAAGTTTCGAGGCGTCTCGTGGTGTGACGTTCCCATCAAAACACTGTTTTAAACAACATTTTATGAGCTCACACACTAATTAAAAGACTAAATGGAACATTTCCTTGAACCTAACGTTTAATTTGTCACCTTTATACAAAAGATAGGGATGGAAATCAAATACTGAAGGGCAGGAATCAGATACTTGTTATAAAATTAATATTTTGATTCCTCTTATTGATTCCTTTGTGAGCGTTTGAATATGACTTTAAGCCAGTCAAGCGTGAGGCGACCGCAGGCGTGTGTATCAGTGTACTGGACCCGTGCAGCTCTTAAAGTGACAGTGTATATTTTATTTATAAAGTGCAGTGTTATTTACACTTGATTACAGTTTCTGTGCCTGAATACCTGAAAATCTTAAAACACTGTTTATTTCAGTCGTATCTATGAGTGTTTACTTGTCTTTAATAATGCTTGACATGTGAATCATAACATTACGAACTTTGATTTGAAGCAAAAAAGTATTTGGAAATCGAACAAAAGTACAAAGGTACAAGACTGTGAACTTAACGGCTTTAGTGAGGGAAAAGAACTACAATCCCATGAAGCTTTGCCAACACCATAGAAAACAATGGAGAAATATAAAACTAGCCTACTCATTTATAAATACATTATATTTAAATTGTATATATAAGTATATTGAGAATGAAGGAAGATCGACTTGATTACGTCATTCACAGTGAATCATGGGGGTGGGCGGAGCTTGTTTTCGACTCTCTGATTGGTGGAATTTTCTGTGCAGCATCATGGGTAATGTAGTTTTCACCATGAATTCTGCAGTTGAAGTTGATAGTTGAAATAATGCAGGCTGACAGCTTTAACGGAAGCAAATACTATCGCTTAACAAGCTCACAGTAGATCTGTCATTAAAGGTTTATAAGTTCTCATTAAAAATCAATTTCTCTGTGGAGAAAAGTTTTACTTTTAGTTTTTAACTTTAAAAACACTGCTTTTGTATGCACTGGTCAGTTTTGAGATTTTGGGCTATTTGGCTCTTCATAACATGTAGTTTCAGATTAATGGAAAAAACATCCAAAATACACTTTTACCTGTTTGTTTTATTGCATTTGATTCTGTAGATTTCCATACAAAGGTCGTTTTCTCAAATTAAGTTTTCAGAAATCTTTGATCAATCACTAAACTTCACAGTTTTATTCCTATCAATATTCAGAGGGGTTTGTTCATATTGAACATGTTCTTAATTTGCCTGATTTTAATCAACATTTTATTCCAAATCATAGTGATTTTTTTTTTTTTTTTTTTTTTTTTGGCTGTTTACAGTACTTTCTGAATTATTTCCAAAACATCCCCTTTGTTAAAACCTTTGAGACTGGTTTCATCAGACGTTCAGATTTCTGTTCTGGAAATGTATGCAAATCAGTGCCTATGTAATTAGATAATGCCTCATTTGCATATTTAAACATAATTTCAGAAAACTTGTAATACAAAAAATCTTTGCGATCTTAATGTAATCAATCAACTAGGGAAGTATGGTGATAACTATTAGTTACATTATTTTTATCCTATTCCCCTGGGGTATTTTGCCTTAATATTAAAATATCTTTGGATGACTGACAGTTAAAAACTTAAGACGTCACGACAGTATTGGGGCGGGTCTAACATACGTCATCTATTTTTCCCCAACATAAAACAAAACTTATATTTAAAAAAAACAACAATCTAAAATAGACGAAATACATCTTAAGCATTCATTTATTTAGCAAGGTTTATGCTTAAAACTGGAAAAAAAATATAAACGACACAAAAAAAACAGTTATGCAGTTTAGCGCAACGCTGTTTTATCTTCGAAAAATATCTAGCGGTTAGATTTTTTTTTTTCATAATATTATAATACAGCTTTGCAATACAATTAAATATTTTACAAAGTTCAATATGAATGAGCGACAGAATGCAGATTGACATATTAACACGTACATGACACCTGTCACAAGAACCATTCTTCTGAATGAAACACCAGTGCACCACTACAACATATAAATATATAAATGCTACATTAAGGTTGTAAGTTATATGTAAATAATAATTTTCTGTGAGGTCTCACGGTCCATCTGGAAACAAACACGCACGCGCGCGCGCGCTCCTAATAACCGCCTCGAATAATAACAGCAGCATCGACACAAACCTGTGTTTTTGTGGTCAGCTGTATCACCGCCTTCCTGAAATTTAGCTTCGAGTCCGTATTTCCCATTTTCTCCTGATATGTAGGTTTAATGATGAGGCGCAGCTCTAATCCCCGTCACCTCCTCCTCTCTCTCTGTGTGTGTGTGTGTGTCATTTGCGGAGGCGGCGGGGCTGCGCTAAACACACACATTTCCGGCACGAGCATTTAATATTCCTACTATGGGAAGGATTTTCTCATGAATATTAATTAGAAGGAGGTTCCGTAACTCATTCGGCTTAACTGATTGGTTAAACGGCAGGCCCTGAGTCAGCTGACTCCTGAATATTACCATTAGTTTGGTTACGTAACTGGACGCCCCAGAAAGGTTACTAAGCAACGTCAGTCGGCTCTAATTCATATTCATAAGCCAGGCCTCTGCCTACATAGCCATAGTAGGATTAATAAATTCCAAACGCACCAGGCAGTTGCTAGGAAAACACTGTTTAGCAAATTTCCCTTTGAATCTTTTACTTTTTCTCAGCATCGCAACCCATTTTCCAAATACAGTATATAACGTTATCGAAGTAACACAATCGTTTGTATAAAAAAAATCTGTACAGAAAACATCATTTAAAAAAAACTAGCCTTCCGATAAAGCAGATTCTAAAAAAAATCAGTTTATTTTCGTGGAAAAAGAACGCATGTTTACATTTGAATACACGTTTGGAGTTACAAAGAAAACAGTGCATCAGCTGTTATAAATATGATCACGTGCGTCACGCGATGTACCCGACCGCAATATTTGGGAAATGTCCTTATAAATCGTTATAGCTGCATGGATAAAATCATAAAACACAAATGTGTTCTTGAATAAATTAGGATGAGGAGAGGCGCTCGTGCACATATGACGTGATGTCATCACGCGATCAGCCAATCCCGCACCGCCCTCGTGTTTTACAGGCTTGAGTTTCGCGCATGCGCAGTGGCATGTAAATAACAGCATCCGCGGTGGCGTGTTTTTGTGTCGCGCAGGCTCATTAAATAGACGAATAGCCGGTTTATACTCACAAAGAACCTTATTATATCTGCTACGTTTATAAAAGTACGACTCCAAGAAGAATACAGCGTTAAATTAGTCGAATATCCCGCGAGGTTTTGCAGCTAAGTGAGTGAAGTGTCGGTTAGCACACAGCTATGATAGAGACTAGCCGGATGAGTTTGAGTCTGACACGTTTATGAAGGCAGAATTGATCAAATACGACCTTCGCTTGTTTTCTTACATGTAATTTAGTGATTTGAACGCCATCGAGCCGCTTTGAGCCGAACATGTCGTGTGTGTGTGTGTGTTAAGCTGTTAGCAGAGGTGTGATGAAGTGTTGAGTGTAGCATGACACAGCAGGGTGTTGATCAGAGCTGATCCAAGAGCTCAATAAAACACGCAAAGATACGAGATCGTGGCATTCACAGACATGCTGACAGAAAACAGGTGAGAAGACATTATTATTACATCAAAATATCATAATACGACATGTCTAGTAGTAACGTTGATCCCAGAGGGGCAGATCTGTCTCTGTTTTCTATTATTATTCACAAACTCAGAGATAGGGAATGTGCTAGATTGTAGCATTCATATCAGAATTAAGAAACTTAATATGCAATTAAGCATTATACAGATAAATATAATCTAGAATATACAGTCAAACCAAAAATTATTCAGACGCCAGATATCATTTTTTATATTTTTTTACTAGTGTGTGCAGGACACTATAGTTCACTTATGTAAGTGAGGAGAGCAAAATAAAGTAAACTGTGACACATTATACCCAGAAACTCTTCATACAGTGACGACCAGTAACATTTATACATATTTGGGAGCAATAATGATTCCTCCACTTTGAGCTGATCGTGTTTTGCTGAAGTGTTTTTTCTTTAATTGCTAATGCTCTTCTTACACACAGACTGAACAACATGAAGCATTGCTTGGTAATCGGTTGAGCTAAACTGGTATTATCTAATTGTGTAGTTAAATTTAACAGCTGACAGATACTCAACATAATTCATCTGTGAGAGTCTAACAGAAGGACGGACAAAACCAGTGAAATATCCACTGATCTAAGTCATATTTTATTACCATTTTTCTAAACTATAGCGAATAAACCGTGATAATTTGAGAAATCTTGAAGGTGTCTGACTCTGAATACATTTTAGTTCGACTATATGTGACAAGTGTGTTTAATAAAATGGTTCAAATACTAATGTGATGCTGCTGTTGTTGATCGTCTGCACTGATGTTGTGAAGGAAACGCCAGCGCGCTGAAGGTGATGATGAAGATGCTCAGATGCCTCAGGCCAAAAGACTGAGTTCGGCCCTCCAGAGCCCTGAGACGGGCAGGGAATCATGGGAGTCTGAGGTATGAAGGGAAATCAACCACACGTCACCAGGTTTTGAGTAGATGCATCTTACGGACACTGCGACGGTCATGATATGATGTTAACATAATAACATCATGCAGATTTAAAGTTAAGGCCCGTTCACACCAAGTAACTATATAATCTTAACCAGAAAGGTATAGTTGTAGAAATTGCTCTAAATGTTAAAGAATAGCAGAGTCCACCACACCACTACAACTATAACACTAACCGCACAGAGGAATGATATCCTTGGAATCACTTTCAGAACTACTTTTTCAATGATAAAAACATTGACAGCCAATCAGAATCCATCCTGCTCCACAGACCTCCAGCATTTAAAGCGGCAGACGACACGATTATGGCACACGCTCAAAACAAGCACAACGATATTGTGCGTTGGTGTGGACGCTAATATAGTTATCGCTCCTGGGTAGGCCTTACTTCGGCAATGAGGTCGTGCCATGGCGTATCGATCTTCTGTTAGTCATACTAGCAACTGCGGGGGTTTGTGAGTGGATGAAAAGCTAATAAGGAGTTAAATCCCTACATTTAGGATGCAATATTACATATATTTTTATACCATGGTCTGCATGAATACTTGATTCTGATCTGACCTTTTAATGCACAGGTAGTTCCAGTCAGTTTGATCACCGTTCTGTATTAATGTGCTGTTTTCATTGAAACACACACACACACACACACACACAGAGAGAGATCGGAGATTGTGCTATGTACACACAGAGACATTCAGGAGCACAGAAACTTGTTATAAACACTGTGTCTTTTATTTAAATGCTATAATTCATTCATTCATTGAAATAAATGTAATCTTACGCACTACTTTATCTCGGATTCAAAGCGAGCGTAATGTTAGATCTAACTGACGAAAACATCCCTCATTTTAACCCTCCCAGTCAAATACTGCACCGCAAACGTCAATAACAGATTTAAATTGTCAAAGCTGGCAAATTACCATTATTTATTTATTTATTTATTTATTTATTTATTTATATATATAAGCGAATATTGTCACAATTGACCGTTCGCAAAGCTCCGCCCCCTTTAGTTACTGTTGCTATGTCCGACAAGCCACACCGCTCTCACACACACACACCATGTTCTCACAGACAGACCAGGTTACTTTTGATATGAAACAAAGTCTCACCTTTCAAATTTGGTCATTTTTTAACTAAATTTAAACAATAAATACCGTTTTGTGGCTCTTTAATGTGTCTGACAGATCGCTGCCTCAGTTAAAGCTGCTCGTGAACCGATCATCTCTTCCTTCTAGTTAATTTATAGCATCAATTAAACATGAGTGAACAACAGAAGGAGTGTGTTTTAACCGCGGAAAGACGTCAGTTCACAGTTTTTCAAGTTCAAATCCTCCAGCGTTAATCTACTAACTCAAAAATGGCGGATGGTGGATTATGATTGGTCAGATCGCCTGTCAATCAAACTCCCTGCGAAGGGTCAATTCCACAGTGCAAAGTGATCCAATAATGATCTAATCATAGACTGTTTAGCATTTTCCTATTTAGATCCAAACAGCGACTTCTTTCTTTGGGACAGGCAGTGTATATTGAACCCGACAGCTACCCTGCAGTTTGTGTGTGAGCGCCACAAAGCCAGAAAATGGAAAACAAAATGTATGTTTAAATATTAGATTTTAAAAAAACTGCCTTTGGCTTGTATTGTAATACAGTTGAGAAAGTGAAGTGTAGGAATGGCATCGGGACATGAAACTCCAAACTTGAACCAAAGACTGTAGAATAACACAAGACGCGTCACTCGTATGGGTTTTGAATGGGGAAAAGTGCAACGCTCCATATGGCGGAATAAGTCTCGCCTTCTCAATAAGAGCCAATCGCAGATTGGTAAAGTCATTGGAAAAAAAAAATAGTTTTTGTCATGATTCGAGCGTTTAGAAACAAAATTTATGAGACCGTTGTTGTCAGATTTAATTGGGGATTTCAAATATGAGATTTAATCGTAAGCTTGGCGAACATTTTCGGAGAATTTGATGTTTCCCCATTCAAAGAGATATGAGCTGCACTTGCGTTTCTAAGATGGCCGCCGAGTGACTCGTCTTAAAGGGACTTTGGGAATATTCTTACACCACAAGATATAGTCCCTGACGAGGTTCTTAAAGGGACCAAATTTCTCAAAGATGTTGCTGACCTGATCTTGCGGTGGTTCTTCTTCACAGTCGTCCAGTAGCGAGAGCTGGATCAGCAGTCCGGATCAGTCCGCCACCGGGAGCAACAGTGGACCGGACCTCATCGGGCCCATCAGTCCCATCAGTGCCTCCAAGCAGTCGGGACACATGGACCCGCTGTCCTACCAGCACATCAACAGAGTCCTGCGGGAAGCCCACTTCCACAGCTTACAGAGCCGAGCCCAGGCCAAGCACAGATGACTTTCAGGAAAACACAATCCCACAGTGTGGTCAGAAGTGCCGACTTCGGCACCAAGTCGCTACTGAAATTTTAAAAACGTGATGCTTTGAGCGCTGTCGAGCGTAATCATAACCGCCTCTGATTGGCCGTTGTGTTCATGAGCTCGTCGGATTTGTCTGTGATTGGCTACAATGATCAACGCACGGGAGCGTTTGAAAGTGTTTTGATCCGCTGATCGACGCCTGTTTTCAAACGCTCACGTGTGTGTCTGTGTAAGCGTTTGCTGAAGAGCGTCATTGATGTATATTCACAACATGTTTTTGAAGCGCTGATAAATTGTAGCCAATCACAGACATATTTGATGAGTGTGTGAGTACAATGTCCAATCAGAGGCGTTTATGATTGCGCTCAAAGCGTCACATGTTTAAAATGTCAGTATTGACTTTGTACCGAAGTCGGTACTTTTGACAACACTACAATCCCAGTAGCGACAGGGTAAAACCTCTTCATCTCCATCCTCATTCAAACCTGCTTTCCTTGATATCTCTCTCTCTCTCTCTCTCTCTCTCTCTCTCTCTCTCTCTCTCTCTCTCTCTCTCTCTCTGTTATGTTGAAATGTCATCGGATGGAAAACACCCCCTGGTACTGTACGCTCTCTGACTAACTAGAGCACAAAAGTGTTCATTGTAAGCAATAACGGCTTGACTATGATGCAAACTTTTGTGACTTTCACACTGTGTGTATTTTTTTTTTTTTTCAGCTGTATTGAGAATAAAGGAACATTTTAGTGGGGGTATTTGCACTTGTTGATCAAAAAATATTGATTCGGACCACTTATAGTGACTCAGCTGTGCACATTTGTAGACGGGAGGCATATGAAACATGGCAGAATATTGTGTTGGTTAGTTTGCAGTGCTGTAACGAATGCGTGGAGAAGTAAAGCTGGTTGCTCATCCAGGCGTCAGGCCTTCGAGACCCTGCCGAGGTTTTCTTGCGTGCTGTTCGAACTCAGATTGCATTTTAAAAGATTGTTGTTTATTTTTAACTATACCTTTTTGTATGGAAAGATGTACATTTACATTTTACATTCAGATCATCTACATTTCTAAATAAAGATGGATGTTCTTAAGCAAACCAGTGTGACTAACTGTTTATTTTTGCCATTAAAGGATTAGTTCACTTCAGAAGTAACATTTCCTGATAATTTGTTTCATCCAAGATGTTCATGTCTTTCTTTCTTCAGTCGAAAAAGGTTTCTGAGGAAAACGTTCCAGGATGTTTCTCCATATAGTGACTTCAATGGGGTCGAAGGTCCAAATGTGAGTTTCAGGGCAGCTTCAAAGTCTCGACACGATCCCAGCCGAGGAATGAGAGTCTGATCTAGACAATCCATCCGCCATTTTATAACAAAATAGACATTTATATACTTTTTAACCACAAATGCTCGTCTTGCACTAGCTGCGATGCGCCACACATTACGTAATCAGGTTGAAAGGTCAAGCGGGACGTAGGCGGAAGAACCGACCTAGGCTGCGTTCAAAACCGCATACTCACTGAGTAGGTACTTAATTTCAATGAGTACTTACTTAACGAGCACTGAAAGAGTTGGTACTTTATAGCCTGATCTCGTTGAGTATGAATGCGAAGCGGACATCTGCCATGTTGACATTATCATGTGACCTACTACGCGTTATCACAAGTGCAACAACTTAAAAGATATGAGCGTTAATTAATCTCTGGTAAATATCTTGATATTGATGAAACTTGCTTATTTTGTGGTCTTGTTGAAGAAACAGCCCATTTATTTTGTGATTGTAGTATAACCAATACATTTAGGGTTGATTTAAGTTCTTATATTTTTAACCCTTTTAATGTGACCCACAGTTTTATCTTTAAAGATATAATTTTTTATTACAAAAGCCCCAAATCGTCATCTCTTGAATAGGTTGTTAATTTCTTTGTTTTATATCCAAAATGTTTACCCACAAGCAAAAAGCCCTTTTGGGCCCCCAAGGGCTGTCCTTTATGTTTTCCTCTTTTTCTTGTTGAATGTTTCATCCCTCAGGCTTATAAATAACAACAACAAAAAATCAGTTATGTATTATTCAAAGATATTTAAACTTGTCATTGTTCTTTTTTCCCTGTGTATATAATCTCATATTATGATGGATGCAAACCCATATTTATGTTTTCTGTCATTATGATTGTTCATTGTTAAAGATACAACCATCGTATCTTTCCCTGGTCTTGTATCTTGATCTGTCCACCCTCTCATCACTGGGCATCACTGGAACTTCCCTCCACTGGTTCGAGTCCTATCTCAAAGGTAGGTCCTTCAGGGTCACATGGAGAGGCGAGGTATCCAAAGCACATCAACTGACCACAGGCGTTCCTCAGGGTTCAGTTCTCGGACCGCTCCTCTTCTCCATTTACATCACATCACTGGGACCCATCATACAGGCACATGGTTTCTCTTACCATTGCTATGCTGATGACACCCAGCTCTACCTCTCATTTCAACCAGATGATCCCACAGTAGCTGTACGGATCTCAAGCTGTCTGGCGGACATCTCGGCATGGATGAAGGAACATCACCTGCAGCTCAACCTGGCAAAGACTGAGCTCCTCGTCCTCCCTGCCAATCCGTCTCTACAGCACGACCTCACTATCCAGCTAGATTCATCCTCAATCACCCCATCAAGGTCGGTCAGAAATCTTGGAGTAATCTTTAATGACCAGCTGACCTTCACAGACCACACTACAAAGACAGCTCGATCATGCAGGTTTGCTATGCACAACATCAGGAAGATCAGGCCTTTCCTAACTGAGCATGCAACACAACTTCTCGTCCAGGCCCTGGTCATTTCTAGGCTTGATTACTGCAATGCTCTTCTGGCTGGACTTCCATCATGTGCAACTAAACCTCTACAAATGATCCAGAATGCTGCTGCTCGTCTTGTCTTCAACGAGCCCAAAAGGGCCCACGTCACTCCTCTGTTCATCTCCCTGCACTGGCTACCACTCGCTGCTTGCATCAAGTTCAAGGCGTTGACACTTGCTTACAGATCTACCACAGGCTCAGCTCCCTCCTACTTCCACTCACTACTACAAGTCTACATCCCTACCAGAAGCCTACGATCTGTCAATGAGTGACGGCTCGTGGTACCATTACAGAAAGCCACAAAATCACTCTCCAGAACATGGAATGATCTGCCCACCCTCATCTGGAATGCAGAATCCCTGACAGCATTCAAAAGACAACTGAAAACTCATCTCTTCCGTGAGCACTTTACATAAATATAAAAAAAAAAGTTTTTTCCTTTAAATCCTCGCTTGTCTGGCTTATGCTACTCCGAGCTATGTCTGAACTTTGTATTTTGAGCACTTCTTGCGTTGTTTTTGCCTCTTCATGATGACTCGCTTGGTTTAGTCCTCAGTTGTAAGTCGCTTTGGATAAAAGCGTCTGCTAAATGACTAAATGTATGTAACTATAAGTTCTGCAATAAAAAAATTGTATGAGTGACAGGTGCACTAACACCTCATAGCATCAGTAACTTGACTGCCGTACCTAGAACGGTTTTCCTCAGCGTTTGTAATGTCTGCACATTGCTTTACAGCAGATCTCGAGAAGATCTCGCTTTTGGAGAAGACTGTTGATTTTTATACTTGAAAAATGTAAGTATCACTTCTTAAAAAACAAGATTACCCCAGAATGAATTGCATCGCTAGCCCACCCCAAAACTTACACACAATAATAATGATAAATGCTGACCAAAACTTTTTACAAAACATTATACTTTTTAGCAAAACAAGCAAAATGTAATTTGCTTTGTCATATGACATAGATATGCATGAATACACACTAGATAAATGCGGTGAATACAGTTAAAGTCAAGCAATGAATTAAAGCATAAATATATTAAATAATTGAATTTTATTTACTGACAACAATAAGAAACATGAATAAATAAGTAAAATAATGAATAAAAGGAAACATCACAATAAACAAATGCATATACAAATCAACAACACAAGAAACAAGGCTTTATTCAAACTAGAATCATGTATTTACAGGCGATGAACCCCACATCCTACTGCCATCTCAACACAGCGGTTCCCATTCTGTGGCTTTATTCTGATGAATCAGCTGACCACCAGAGGTGAGCCGTGCCTTTGTGCCGGAGGTTGTTCTGAGGCAATAAGGGCAGGTGGAGTAATGGAGGGTCTCATAAGGGCAGGTGGAGAGATGGAGGGTATCATAAGGGCAGGTGGAGTAATGGAGGGTATCATAAGGGCAGGTGGAGTGATGGAGGGACTCATAAGGGCAGGTGGAGTGATGGAGGGACTCATAAGGGCAGGTGGAGTGATGGAGGGTCTCATAAGGGCAGGTGGAGTGATGGAGGGTCTCATAAGGGCAGGTGGAGTGATGGAGGGTCTCATAAGGGCAGGTGGAGTAATGGAGGGTATCATAAGGACAGGTGGAGTGATGGAGGGTCTCATAAGGGCAGGTGGAGTGATGGAGGGTCTCGTAAGGGCAGGTGGAGAGATGGAGGGTCTCATAAGGGCCGATGGAGTGATGGAGGGTATCATAAGGGCAGGTGGAGTGATGGAGGGTCTCGTAAGGAAAGGTGGAGAGATGGAGGGTCTCATAAGGGCAGGTGGAGTGATGGAGGGTCTCGTAAGGGCAGGTGGAGTGATGGAGGGTCTCATAAGGGCCGATGGAGTGATGGAGGGTCTCGTACGGGAAGGTGGAGTGATGGAGGGTGGGCAGGTGGAGTGATGGAGGGTCTCATAAGGGCAGGTGGAGTGATGGAGGGTCTCATAAGGGCAGGTGGAGTGATGGAGGGTCTCATAAGGGCAGATGGAGAGATGAAGGGTATCATAAGGGCAGGTGGAGTGATGGAGGGTCTCGTAAGGGCAGGTGGAGAGATGGAGGGTCTCATAAGGGTAGGTGGAGTAATGGAGGGTCTCATAAGGGCAGGTGGAGTGGTGAAGGGTCTCGTAAGGGCAGATGGAGAGATGGAGGGTCTCATAAGGGTAGGTGGAGTAATGGAGGGTCTCATAAGGGCAGGTGGAGTGGTGAAGGGTCTCATAAGGGCAGGTGGAGAGATGGAGGGTCTCATAAGGGCAGGTGGAGTGATGGAGGGTCTCATAAGGGTAGGTGGAGTAATGGAGGGTCTCATAAGGGCAGGTGGAGTGGTGAAGGGTCTCGTAAGGGCAGATGGAGAGATGGAGGGTCTCTATAGAGGTCCTGACCACTTTCTATAGGGGCACCATTGAAAGTGTTCTGACCAGCAACATCTCTCTTTGGTTTGAGAACTGTAAAGCTTCAGAGAGAAAGGCGCTGAGCAGAGTGGTGAGGATAGCTGAGCGGACTATTGGGACTACTCTGTCGACCATTCAGGAGCTGGCCCAGAAAAGATGCCTGTCAAGAGCAAAGGGCATCATCAAGGACCCCACTCATCCTGGCCACAAACTGTTTTCCCACCTCCTCTCTGGTAGGAGGTATCGCAGTCTGAGAACAAGGACTGCAAGGTTCAAAACTAGCTTCTTCACCACTGCTGTCAGACTATTGAACACAAAAACCTACTAAAACATACCAATTAATGTGAATACTTCATGTACATAATTATCTGTTCTGACCGCACCTTATGCTCAAATGCATTATTTTAAATATGGATATTTATACCTTCAATTGTATATATCTAGATATTTATATTTACCAGTTTTAAGACGTTGTATATTTATATTTATCATTCTACATGCTCCGCATACCCATACAAGCGTTTTTTATTTATTTTTATTATGTAGCTAATATTTTGTTTTTTTACGGTGTTTTTGATTGTTTCTGTGCTATTTTTTCAAGCTGTGAACTTTGCACGTAATTTCGTACTACAGTGTACTGTGGTATGACAATAAAGAAATCTTGTATCTTGAGGTGAAGTGATGGAGGGTCTCATAAGGGCAGGTGGAGTGATGGAGGGTCTCATAAGGGCCGGTGGAGAGATGGAGGGTCTCATAAGGGCAGGTGGAGAGATGGAGGGTCTCATAAGGGCAGGTGGAGTGATGGAGGGTTTCATAAGGGCAGGTGGAGTGATGGAGGGTTTCATAAGGGTAGGTTGAGTGATGGAGGG